CAGTTACTGTTTCCTTCTCCTGACAGTGGAAATGCACAGACTCAAAGATCCATTTCATGTAAAAGCGCCATGATGAAAGCTCGTACTCAAAAGTATCAAGATATGACACATTAGAAGATTAAGGGGACCATAAGATAGGTTAAGACTTCTCATACTGTCCGCATGAAGGACTATTTACAAATACTCACAAGAACCAGGGTGCTTCGTTTTAATATGTGTTATGTGTTATGTGGCATAGTAATGTTAAAACAACAAAAAAAACTTATTCTGAAACAAAAAGACATGTCAGTGAAAAACGGCCTCTCACAACAGCAGTGCTGTCAGTAAGCAGCATTCTTTTACATTGTACAAAGAAAAACATGCAACTTATATCTTTGATCACTGTAACCCAAACCACCATAAAACTACATTACATGAAGAAACTGAAGGATAGTCGTACTCAAATGCCTGGTTATATAATTGTTGTTGTCAAGATGGCCAAGCCTTGTCATTGGGTCTTAAGATGGCCAGCCAGGCTGAAGGAATGACAGCATGTTAGTTTGCTTTTAGGACACCTTCATTAAGTCGGTCTAGCACCAGTAACATGTCCTACACCTTAGAGACATTTTATAGGTTATTAGGTTGATTCCCGATTACTTGAAATTCATTATGTAATCAGTCTAAAGAAAGAAAAATAGGAGTCATCATCACCAGCGAGGAGTTACTAAGTACTAACATTTTTTCCGGAAATCGTATGACTCTAAGCATGAATAGTTTGAGCCCGCAGTTCAGTCTGTTAGGAAGCATTATGTCACCGCACATGCATGCAGCCTTGACCAAGGTCAAAGCTTGCATGCGTGTTCTTTATGCAAAGACACACTAAGCACTGGCACGTCCTTACAAATTTAACAATGTGCAGTGGAAGATTCTGTGACATGGACAAAAAATGTTAGCGCTTAATGGACCGCATGAAAGCAATATCAAGTGCATTAGGGTTATGCTGTAGTAACTCTCCCTGATTTTTTTCATCATAATGCAGTAATAGAGCATTTCTTTTATGGTGATTATTCATAATCCAGATAATCGAGGATAGCTGTAATTACTTCACTCCTTGTAAATATTAGGATTTTTCTTGAGTCCCAAAAAGAGCAAAGTTTATTGATGTAAGAAAATCTGTCCTAATGTGAGCAGTGTGTAAATTGTTTCCTCCCAGACCATACTAAAGTTTCCGTTCTAAATACTTATGTGATTACATAAGAAATATTAAAGCATGTTCACATACAGATTTGTTATATCTTTTATGTCACTCTTAGCTAGGCATATGAACAGTTCAACCTATTTACACAGTATTAAAACGTATTTATGGGACAGTGGGTCACTTGATCCTCTATATTTCAAAGGTTTGAAAAATCGTCCGTCAGACACTACCCACAAGGTTTCCTTCTACTGAAATTCTATTAAGTTACTAATGGGAAAATTAAGTATAGTGCTAATATGTTAGTATGAAAGTACAAGGATTCCGTTTACAAGTTAGGATATCACATATCGTGTGGTACATCTAATTTACAATCTGTGCTTGTTTGTTTAAATGTTTTCTCTTATGTGGAAATACGGAATGTGTAAGATAAACAGAGTATTATAATATTGGTACAGAATTATACCATAATGGTTGTATTACAAATGGAGAAAAAGCCACAAATGAGGTTTCATTGCAGGCAAAAAGGATGAAAATGTGTGACTACCGATGGAAAAATAAAGTTGAAGAAAAGTCTGGCAAACGGGAACTATTATCTGCATGGAAAATTGATGATGGTGGCAGATGATTAGAATGAATAAAAAAAAAAAAAAAAAAGCTTGTGATGTGCATTCTTGACAATAACCCAGTCACACCTTAACCATTACCAATGCCTTAAAACAGCAACATTGTAGAAATTACGGGGGGGAACTATTTCCTGTTTAGCTACTGTGAAACTTAATATTACTTTTCTTTCTTTCTTTACCTTTCATCCCCCGCGAGATGGAACCAGCAATCATAGAGATATGATCACCCGAAAACTGGTGTCCGCGCACTTGATTTTTCCTCCTCGCACACTATAGCTTGCACGAGGCCTCGAAACACGCCCTCTGGGAAGTCTCGTTGGCGGCGCCCTTCGCTCGCTCAACCTCCTCCTGTCAGAAGGAGAAATGTAAGGGATGGATGTGATGCGTTAAATGCATGAATAAATGTCCATTTCTTTGATATGTATATACTCTTCATATACATTGTAAATAAAAATGGTACCATTGTTTATTTAGTCTTGGAAGACTTGCGAGGCCTTCGTGAAATGTAGATGTGGTTTGTACTAGTTATAGACTTTGCTAATGCATGATTAATGATATCAATTTTGGGCTTAGAGTTTGATGCTGTAAGGTTCCTCTCCAGATATGGCCTAGTCCTTAAGCATCTCAGCGTGCCTGACCACCCATGTTAGTGACACGTCCCCTCTGCTATGCATGTATGGTTTAGTATGGGGGAGGGGCAGTACTACTTCTACAGGGCCCCCATAACCCCCCCCCCTTTTGTGTTGTCAAGCGGGCCTATTGCATGACAGACAGTGCATTGCATGCCTGGTGCTCTTGTAGAACAAGAGCACCAGGAATCTCACTTTTTTGCAAATCACAACACTTTGCATATGCACTAACAATGACCTCTTAAAAGGGGTAGCCTCAGACAATGGAGCTTAAATGCTGTAATAGTTAATCACATGACAGGGACTGATCTGGACACATGGTGACTATTACCAACCTGCGTCTGGGGCTAGAGTGGTTGAACCCATATGGCAACCCACATGCCCAATAATGGTTTACCACTCAAGGAGAAATGCGCTGCGTTTAGAATTTACGTGAAAGCTGAGACATGTTAATGAGTTGGAAGAGCGTTCTTGAACTGGTATGGCTGGTGTTTCGTCCCGGCAAAAGATTAGGGACTTATAAATCGGCCTTTCGGATGTACACACAAAATTATGAATTGATTCTGCACTGTGTCCAGATTCCTATAAATATAATATATTATTTTACAGTACAAAACAAATCATTTGAATCGCGTAAGAGCATCAAAACTGTTAAAACTATTAAATTGCTGGCTCACCGGGTCCACTGGTAATTGTGGAAATGGAAGGCAACACTGGCTATGTAAATGAAGATGCCAAAATAGTTGAAAGTTGGAGGTGTCTTTCATTCCTTCTCGCCAGCTTTTTCCCCAAGAGTAGGACAACTTTTCTTATCGTCTGCCATGGATTTGGATTCCATCCATCAGGTAGAGACGTAGCTGGATAAGTGTTTAGGTTGGCTGTAGTGTCAAGGTTATGTTGTAGGGAGTCTCTGAAAAAAGACGGAACTTGGAGATGTTTTGGAAAATATGTATATATGAAGGTCTATATCAAAAGAATAAGTTGAAAGGTTCAACATAAAGATATACTTGTGAACTCCATTAAAGCAAGGTCCTGTAAATATTACAAGAAAAAGTAATGGAATTTGGTAAACTTAGTAAGTGTGAAACTATTATCGCATGCAAGGGGTTATCCGAGTCTAAAACCTTTTAGTCTGTTACATTGTGAAATGTCTGTTCTGTGCCTGCATTTTCATTATCCTGCAATGTCAAAATTAGATTGTCTATGACCTGTCTGATGAGATTCTGAGGAAGAAAGTGTTAGAGGAACTAAAGAATTTTAATGTAGTGGCATTAAACGAAAGTTGCACGGTTGAAAAGTCGACACAAGCTCTTCTTTTACCTTATGAAATGTTAGTCCTAAAATCAGTTAAGTTGGCATGGTACTACCTCAAGGTTAAAGCCTTATGTGCCAAACCCATGCAGTGCTTCACTGCCAGGGTTATGGGGCATGGAGCCAACTCTTGTCGTTTTAAGGAAAATGGACAAACAAGATATGTGTAATGTGTGGTACAACAGGTCATCAGGAGATGACAAAGTTCCAGATCAATATGCTGTCAACCATGCAAAGAAGTCATGAAGATTCTTCAAAGCAATTGCTAAAAGGGAACACGTTAAAAAAAAAATGTTGGTAATAAAGAGCAAGGAGGGAAAGTTTAGATTCAGAGGCAAAAGCAAAACGTGTCCATGTGCTGTTTGCCCAGGCCAAGTAAGTCCTTTGCCTCTTCTAGCCCATCTCATTCCGCCATCCTTGCCCTCCCAATACTTCTTCGACCATACACTCTTGCCACTACTGTAAACCTCAGTCCTCAAATGCTAAAAACTGCCTCTGGTGAGTTTTTTCCCGCAGATCGGAAGTAGGGGTGATGGTCATTGAGAGGACTCCTTCCAAAGAATGGCTTTGGAGCCATCAGTCCAAGGTCCAGAGGCCTAAATGGTAAAACAGCTCTCAGCTGCCACCATA